GCAGCAGCAACCGCAGTGGCAGCAGCAGCAGCCACAGCAGCAGTGGCAGCAGCAGCAGCCACAGCAACAGTGGCAGCAGTTCCCACAGTCTCAGTGGCAGCAGCTGCAGCAGCCACAGCAGCAGTGGCAGCAGCAGCCGCAGTGGCAGCCGCAGCAACCACAGCAGCAGTGGCAGCCGCAGCAGCCACAGCAGCAGTGGCAGCAGCAGCAGCCTTGGCAACAGCCTCAGCAGTGGCAGCAGCAGCCACAGCAGCAGTGGCAGCCGCAGCAGCAGAGCAGCAGCAGCACATGGGGAACCCAGCAAGCCTACCAGCAGCAGGCTTGGCCCCAGCAGCAGCAGGAACACCCCCAGCAGCAGCATGAGCAGCAAGAGCAGCAGCAGCAACAGCAGGCAGCAGCTGGCGCTGAGCTGCAGCAGCAGGACGGCGCAGGCTTAGCTGACAACGCATCAGCGCCGCTGCAGCAACAGAACTAGCAGCAGCAGCAGCAGCAGCAGCAGCAGCAGCAGCAGCAAGGTGAGTAAAGGCTGAAACAAAGCCTTTTGCGGGCTTTTTCAGCGAAGTGCACGTGCAGCGGCTGCTGCTGCTTCTGCTTTTGCTGCAGCAGGTGTTGCTGCAACAGAGCTGCAGCAGCAGCAGCAGCTCATGCTGCTGCAGCAGCAATACCTGCAGCAGCAGCGGGAGCAGCAGCAGAAGAACAGCCCTCCGTATATTCAGATTGCAAAAGCTTTTTAGGCCCAGTACTTGAAAGGGCCCCGCGGGGCCCCTCAAGCTGGGGGCCCCCTGGGGGCCCCCTGGGGGCCCCCTTAAGGGTCCACGGCCTTTAGGGGCCCCCAGGGGGCCCCTGAAGGCCGTGGCCCCTTAAGGGGGCCCCAGACCTTTTCTGTGTGGCCTCAAGAGGGGCCCTTGGGAGAGCTGCAGCACGGGAGAGATGTTGTGCTGCTGCTGCAGCTGCTGCCGCTGTTGGAGCTCCAGCTGCTGCTGCAACTGCTGCAGCGGCTGCTGCAGTGGAAGCAGCAGCAGTGGCCCGTGCAGCAGCAGCAGCAGCAGCAGGGACCCCAGAAGGCGCCCTTGGCTGTCATACGGGCCCAGTAGAGCGCAGCTGTTCGATGTTCTCCAGCTGCTAGTTACGTGGATCCATTCTGCCCTACCCTTTAGGGTTTAGGGTTTAGTGCTTAGGGTTTAGGGTTTAGGGTTTAGGGCTCAGACAAGGACGCCGGACCTCTCGCTCTAAACCCCCGCAGCAGTAGGTGGGGGCGTCGGGGTGACCTGAGGGTCTGCCGCTGTGCTGCAGCGCAGCTCTTGAGGAAAAATTGAATTAAAAAGTAATTATTTTATAATTTTAAATGTCAAGAACTCGAAAATTCGCATTCTTTTGGTCGGTGGGGCCCCGTGGGTGCCCCGAGAGGGTGGTTCAGTTCAGTTGGCTCGCCTGGGGTTCTGGTCGGTCGATTCATTTGGGGGGAATTTTCTCGATAATTGCGATTTAATTCATTAAATAGGACTTTTAAATATAAATATGACTTTTTATTTCAATTAATTACTCACAGGAGTGAGATTTGCAAGAAAAGGCATTCAGGAAACCCAGAGCTGCAAGGTAGCATGCCTCACGGGGGGCCCCTTGTCTTGCGTGCTGCTCGAGGGTTTAGGGTTTAGGGTTTACAGCCCGGGACCCAAAACCCTAAGAGAAGTTAGTCACCGTTAGTTATATCCCCCTTCGGAGGGTTTAGGTTTAGGCCCTAGGGTTTAGGGTTTCGGAGCACTTGCCGGGGGCCCCTTGTTCAAGAAAGGAGAGTCATTGCAGTGAAAGATGCATGCACACATGCGCACAGCAACAGCAGCAACAACAGCAGCAGCAACAACAGCAGCAGCAAAAAAGGCAACAGCAGCAGCAGCAGCAGCAGCAAGAGCAGCAGCAAGGGCCAGTCACTTCTCAGCCAATCAGCCGGG